TAAATAAATTCTAGAAGCATACTGTCTTTACCTCCCTGTCAGCCAGATAACTGATAAAAAGAGCTCCAAAGGAAACAAGACAAGATAGAGGTGGGAACTCCTGCTGGAGCTGGCATGTGAGTTAGCCTGGAAACTACAACTGTGCCAGAAGGAAGAAAGAACTAAGTCCACAGGAAAGAAAACAACATGGGACAATGAAGAAGAGTAGCTGAAGCACTGAGGAAGAGAAGAAGGCAAGCAAAAGTAACTATGAGCAGCCCAGAGGAAAGGAGAAAGAGTCATGCAACAAAGAAGGCAATGAGTAAAGAAGCAACAGTGTGAACTGCTTGTATTCCAAAAGAGAATACAAAGGAGAAAGGTAATCTGTATAGCAATAAATAGGTTAATAGGAATAAGTCTGGATTAGGAAATGCATATAGGAAATAGATTTAGGACTTTATGAAAATAAGGACACCATGATAGTAAAACTAAAGTTCTACTGCTACTGCTTTATTGAGCAATTAAGTAAAGCCTCTGAAGGTAAAATGCATTCCTACTTCCCTGTTTATGTTTGTGCTATCTAAAAACATTCCTGTGATACAACATGTTTGAGCCAAAAAGACTTTGTTATTCTCTCTCTCTCTCTCTGTGAGAGTGAGTGAGTGAATGATAGTGAACAGGGTACAAAATGATCATAATAGTTTCATTATAATCTAATATGAATTATAATAATTCATAATAATATGAATTCTGAAAGAACTGAGTCTTAAAAATAACATCCTGAAAAAGTTCCGTTTTAAAAAGCCAATGTGAATGAATAAAAACATAGGCTCAAATTCCATGTGTGCTATCATCCTCTGATGAAAATTCAGCAAAGATTTAATGTTTTCATATAATATCACTAATTGGCTGAACTGTGAACTGAATCTTCGGGCCAATATGCAATATTGAGAAGAACTACTTGACACTTGCCTGTATGTTTTTAGAAAGGCTGAGATTTTTGATGAGGCTAGCCGTACGACCAACAATTACTGGGTCTGTTTTCCAGGTAAGCAACAGCTCCCCCAGAGTTTGCAGCATCTCATCAGACATCAGGGCTTCCTGCAAAGAGCAAAGTAGTGCAAAAAAAAAAAAAAATAGAGGAAGAGCACTTTGTAATATCGATCTGCATGAGATTAACCCAAGTCTTCAAAAATGGTATAATACAGCAGCAGGGTGCAAAGTAATGTTTCACTGAAGAGCCAGTGCTGGACCCAATATCATCATAGACAGGGAAGAAAATAGCCAGAGCGTCTCTGTGCAAGAATACCCAGCTGGAATAAAAGTATGCCAGCATTAAATTGTTAAACGGTAAAAAAAACCCATGAGTGGTGCTGTCCTTACAGTTGGTTGCTGATTCAATCAGCAACAATATAAATACTCCCACTGAGCACCAATCATTCAAGGTTTTTTCCAATCATGGATAGCTTTCTCCACTACAGTAGTAATGAAATCACTCAACCAAAATGATAGTGCTTGCTAAAGAAATTCTAAAGAGGAAGGTATGTTAGTCTATTGAAGCTTTCCCCAACGGGGGCACCCTCGAGATGTGCAGATTTCAACCCCCTGAAATTTTAGCAAGTATGTCTATTGTTGAGAATTCTGGGAGTTAAAGTCCATGCATCTTGGGAATGCCAAGATTGGGAGAATGCTGAACTACTGCAGCAAAACATCAAAGGGTCTTTTGGCACTTTAAAGTTATTTTTTTGCCCAAAAAAAGCATTAGGAGACAAGAGATTTAAAGTCATAATAAATCTGTTAGCCTCTAAGATTCCTGAAAACTCATCATTCTTTTTATTAAATGAGGGAAATCTAAAGATGGCAAATTGATAATGAGATATAGTGGTAATCAGAGTTTATTGGCAAAGTATTTTTAATTATAGAGTTTTTTCTTATGATACACAAGGAAAGTTAAACATGTTACCTCACCAGTCTCAAAGATAAAATGTAGTGTAGAACCATACTGAATATCTTAGAAATAAGGAAAGTAGAGGGAAAAGGTTCCATCTTATTTTAGAAACATGAAACTATAGGGAAAAAATATTCTTAAATACTAGGCTTTGCAGCACTTCAGATTAATTTCCAAAAAGGTGCTTTGAAGAATGCAGGGACACAAACATGACATATATCTGCAACTTTTTAAAGCATCTTTTCCTGAGATATTCCAAAAAACAGCATAGCTGTTTTAAAAGAGTTGAAGAGCAGGCTGTGTTCTTCATGTTGTGCCCCCTTGCTCTCCAAAGCACCTTCCTGGAATCAGATGTATATATTATTATTATTATTATTATTATTATTATTA